TGTTCGCTCCCCTCCCGATCTACTGAGCCGACCTGTGACAGTCTCATTGTCACAGGTCGGCTAGAACTATGAGGTGAGTGAAAAGCACTCACCTCATAGTTCTCCTTTAACATACAATGGAGAGGCCAGGGTTGTAATCCTTAAACCCCTCAACCCTCACAGCCCCTCCTAATATCACAAGTGTTATCTGAATTTGGCTGCAAAAGTGGAAATACACTTTAAACCATCATTACTGATAAGAATGTGTTTGGGGTTTTTGTAAGGACTTTTTTACCTGTTTGTAAAGCCTGCAACTACTGCACCCACCCTCCATTGTTGGAGCAGCGGCTGTGAGTGCGATGGGTACACGGACTGTATCTTGTTTATAAATAGACCACCAAGTTTCTTTTTTTTATCTCCGGGAGATTGAGAAACTGTTTGCCTTTTCAGCAGAACTTTCACAGGGTTATTCACAAAAGGGTGAAGAGTTTGGAGAAGGCAGGAGAAGTGAACAATCTAGGGACAACATAGCTGAGCTGGAAAGTGAGCTGAATTGGAGAATGTTTCCAAATCAGCTATTTTGGCCTAAATTGTTTACTTCTCCTGCCTTCTCCAAACTCCTAACCCTTTTGTGAATAACCCTGTCAGTGTCACTTATTTACCTGTCCATTCCTCCACTAGAGGGTGCACTACCTACAAATGTTTCATTGCTCCTCCTCTAGTGAAGTATAACTATAAGGAGACAGTGGCATCACCCACCTCCTGCTAGAAAATCCAGCCTGACACGTCACAGCCGTGAAGTCTGTTTATAGTGCTGCTTCCAGTTCTGTTTACGGTACATGACTGCTATATATATTTAAAGTGAACCTTTTACAAACCGAGGGAATCTGAACAGTGCAATTATGAAGAATGTATAATTAGGGATTAACCACGACACTCAATAAGATATAGTCACTTGAAGTTATATGCACATCTTAATAACTCTCTATAAAAGTCAAGTCTGGCCACATCCCATCTTCATCCTAAACCTTCCGATTGGTCAGTGAGACTATGGAATGCATACTTGGTAAGGGCTAGTCACAATACGCATATCATTTCAGCTGCCTATATCTCAAGACCTGCAAACTGTTTTAATGTTGTTATGGAAGATCATCACTGCTTATTATTTATTTTGGATATATAATACAACCAAGATTTTAAAGTTTATATCCACTTTCGCAGACCAATTTGAGAAAACCCCTCTATATGTTTGTCATGTGTATCTTTTCATACAGCATACCCAAAAATAATTTTTAACAAACTATTTCTTACCTTTTAGATGTTTTGTTGCAGCAGGCAACATGGCTGATTGCAGGTTTTTCTCAGCCCCTGATCTGTCCTTATGGAAATGCCTAGGACAGTACTGTGTGGTTTGTGTTTCACTCAGTAACTTTATTAAAGGAGAACTATGGGGTTAAGTCTTTTCCCCATAGTCCTCCTTAGGGTAACGGGAGGACACAAACTAGCAGCTGCTCGCAGTATACTGAGGCGCCACAGCCGAAGCGGATCCCGACAATTGTGCCGGGATCCGCCCAGCTGCGTGACTGACAGCTGGCTCTGCCTATTTAAAGGCAGAGCTG